ATCCTAATCTCGCCCCGCCCGAATGTCGAATGAATGTTGTGTTTTATTGGTTACTTTCCTTTATCCACATTTCTTTTGTGTCCTGTCTCACACCCCCTCCTATGAAATGTAAGCCGCCCTGAGTCCCCTTAGGGAAAAGGGCGACCTATAAATGTCAATAAAATACTTGGCAGGTTTGGTTTGTTAATAAAAGCAGTTCAAAATGTTCAAAAACATTTATGTCTGTATCCCAGCAAGTGGAACACTTAAAATGTCTCTGGTATTTAGTCACAATAGCAGCTTTTTATATAATAATGCAATTTTGATAATGACATTTAATTTATGGAGCTGAGCAATCACTATAGTAAGTCATACTAGTGTTCTAATTCACCTGACCATGTGTATGCCTACAAGTTGACATTAGAACACAAGATAAATGTGTTGAAATATACATTTCTTTATTTTTTTTTTGACAGAAACCATTTGCAGGGGAAGTCTGTCAGTTAGACAAATCTGAGGAAGGTGGCTATCCATCATGGCTCTTGACTTGCAGCCCACAATCGCCCTCAGCTCCTTGCAGTCCCATTAATAATTGTATCCAGGTGCTCAGTGAAAGTGAAGAGGATGATGAAGAAGAAGCAGCAGTACAAGCAGCAAGACAAATAAAATGGAATTTAGCAAGCAAAAGGACACTCTTCCAACCAGACTTTAGTGATCTGGATCTAACTTTGATTGAAGAGAACTAGCATTTTGGATGTCTCCTTGAAAAACTGACTTTGGAGTCAGCCGCAAAGGGAGGCTGCACTCCTGGATGAGGGTGGGGGAGCGGGGTGGGGGGTAGAAGGGAAAGTGGCGGTAGGATAACGGGGTTTTGTCTGCTTGTTTCTTTTGTATTAAAAGAGAAAATAAAAAGAAATTACTAAAGGGAGTTGTATGTCTCTAAGATGGGATGATGAAGCCTGTCAAACATAAGGAGACAGGAAGAAAACCTTGCCAGCAATTTGACAAATTTGCTTTTATTGGCAAGCCTTTTGGTCTGTCCCAGATCACAACACTCAGAGACCTTTATTTAAAAGAAAGAAAATATGATATCTACTTAATAAAGTCCTACATATAAGCATAACAATACAATTGATTGCTTTTTTAAAATTAAAAATACAGTGATATGGTAATTTGAAAATGTTACAATCCTATTGAGTGTTTTTACTGGATGAATCTTCATCCACATTACTTGTCATCTTAGAATTCTAATCTACAGCCTAATATAGGAAAAAACAGGAAAGCAGCAAAATTAAACTCAACATTGCATAGACATTTGTTTTTCTCTATGAAGAATTTTTCCAAAAGCATTTTGCCCTTTGCTTTTGAATTCATCCTGTTGTCTGACTATAAAGCTTTATTTTATTCCATTGAAAAGAATTAACATTTTCCTGTTTATCAGACATACAAAAATGTACATGAGAAGTTTTTGAATGTTGCTGTATGTTATCTCACAGGTGTTTCATTGTTGAAAGAAAAGGAACGAAGACAAAAATGTTATTTTAATACACTCTTCTGCATGAAATGTATATTATACATTTTATTTAATTAGAGCGGGGGAACCACTTATGCTGTTACAAGATTACTATGCATAAATCCAGTAAATTCAAATTTCCCCCTTATTTGGCACAGCTCTATAAACCCCTATTAATATTTTTCAACCTTATATAGCTTTTAATCACCCACAAAAATAAAACACCGGATTCTTAGCCAAGGTAAAATTAAAGGAGGGAAAGAAAAGCAGGTACAGCTGATATTTGTGCTGACATCACCAGCTATCGCTGATCATTTCCCACGGAATCCGCACTTATTACCGCTCGAGAGCAGACCGGAAGCGTGGGAAACTTTCAGAAGCGACTCTATGGTTGCAGAGCCCGATGCGCTCCCGTCAGGCCTGTGCCGGGAAATCTTGTTTTCCGAGGGCCTCAGCCCAGCCCCTCCGTTTCCGTTTCGGAGGCCGGTGAGGGGAGGGGGGGAAGGGCAGCGGCGGAGAAAGAGACAGCCGGAGGAGGAGGAGGCAGCGGCAGCGGGATCCTGCGGCTCATCGGGCCACCCGGCCTGGCTCTTTTTCCCGCCCTCCGTCCCTTCCCCCCACAACCTCAGGCTTAGGAGGCCCAGGCCTCCGCCGCCGCCAGTCCTCGGCGGGGGACGAGTTCGCGTGCTCCGCTCACCCAGTCAGGTTTCTGCTTTCGTAGCTCCTCTCACTTTCTCCTTCCCGCCTCGCCTCCCGCTCCCTCCTTCTCCTGCTCGGAATCTCCCCCCCCCCCACCCCCAGGCCCGTTTTCGGCGTGTCCCATGGACAGGCACAAAGTGAAGCGCCAGAGGCTGGACCGCATTTGCGAAGGTAAAGAAAAAAAAAAGGGGGGGGAAGCTTCCTGAGCTTCGGAAGGAGGCGGGATGGCGGGCAAGAACCGGGCGGCAAGGACGCTCTAAATGTCGGGGAAGATGCCGGGCGGATCTGAGTCGGACCTCGTGTCCCGAATCTCTCTCCACGTGGTGTTGTGACAGAAGGCTGTTTCTACTGGTGGAAGTATTGGCGCCCGCCTGCCTCTGCTGTGAGGCTCTGTGAGCTAATCCTTTCTTTGAAAAATGGGGGTCCTCGAGTTATGGCCCTGTCCGTAGACCGAGATGCCCAGATTACACTGCCGGTTCCGACCCCCTTACTTAAAAACCGCGGTCTGTATCCTCTTTCCTTGGTGGAGACCATTATCTCGGCTCTTGTGATACCCCCATGAACCCGGATAGCCTTATGACCCCCACTTGACAGAAGGGGAGAAAACGTCTAATAGTGGGGTTTTTTTTTAAAGGTGTCCAAGTATGAGAAGTGTCTCTTTCAAAAGCTATCATAGATGATTATTATTTGCCATTGAAAAGCACAAACCTATGTTTTTCTCTATTAATGTGTACCTTCTGGTTTCTTGCAAATGTGTCAAAAAAAGTTCAGCCTTTAAACTAGTTTTCTGCTGTCTAAAAACCACATTTGAATTGTCTGCACCTTTTATCCTTCATCTTCTTGTATTAGGTTGTAGTAATTGAGGACCAGTTGTTTTATTTTTTTTTATTTCTGTGAGATATTACTTATTATATTTATATTTATATATTGTATATTATATATAATATATTTATATTATATTTTACGGCACCTAACTGAAACTTTTTGGGCAGATTACGGAGCTGTTTAACATTCCCCTCCCTGTAATAATAAGACAATAAAAGTTAATAAAGTTGCCCCTGAAGAAGTACATGAAAAATAAATGATTTAAAGGAAACAAATAGTTGCATATACATTAGTCTTGTTTTGAACTGAAGCCTAAAGGATGCTATGCAATAGCACTTAGACTTATTTACCGCTTTACAGTGCTTTACAACCCTCTCTCTCTAAGCTGTTTAGTCAGTATATTCCCCCAACAATTTGGGTTCTCATTTTACACACCTTGGAAGGATGGAAGGCTGAGAGCCTGGCAATGATAGATACATAGAGATATATGACATTAAGTTTTGCTCAATTTGGTGTTGTTTACTTTATACAGAAGATGACAATTACACTTGCCCCTTACTATATTGAGAGAAAGCCATTAGTAAACAGAAGGTGATACAGGTTCTTCCACCCTAGCTTCAGACTTTTATGCCTGATGAATGCCTTCTTCTTTGGGTGCTTGTTTGGAACAGAAAAGCAGCATGCTAAAGTGTCTTAGCTTCCCAATAGTTTTCTATCTGGCTAACAAGGCCAGCCAGAATTTTTTGATTCTTGCTCTGAGCATTATTCCATTAATAGCTACTAGTTAGAAGGTTTTTTTTAATCTTTATTTGGGGCTCAAATTATATTAATTATCTATAAAGTTATTAGGATATATTTAGTTGGGTTAGCATATCACACTTACCTAAGATTTGCTAAATCATGGTTCACTGCATAAATACTATTGGCTTGCAATAAAAGAGAATATTTTTAGTTAAGGGTTAACTGCAGGGTCCTTGGTGTCCTTTGAGCTTGGTTGCTTTCTTGCAGACGTTTTACTACCAAACTAGGTAACATAATCAGTGCTAGTGTTACAGGTGGTTCAGCTTATAGACTTACTAATTAATAATCACTTTACATTACACTCACACATTTTGCTAAAGCAAAACCAGTATGTTGTAACTTAATGAGAACTATGGACTCAATTTCCATCTTTGAGTTATATCATTGTTGGGAAGACTAGTATAGTATCTTGAAACATTTGTGCTTTTTCTGTTGTGTTTTTCATCATTTCCTTAGCTAGGAGAGAACAAGTTGAGTTCTTTTTTAGATGTAATTACCATTTCTTAAGTGGTTATTAGGTGTTTTTTGCTACTCAGGTTTGAAAGCACATAAAATACTGAAAGGTTGATAAAAGATATTTGTGTGCATGATCACAACTATTCCATTACCCACAATTATTAAAAATACATTAGAATTATTAACTTAGTCAATATTTGTAAGTACCTTCCATATTACTGTTTTGTTTCTGAAACATTCATTTTTAAAGGATTGCTGGGTGCTCCCTTATACTGATCAGGCTATTGGCTTATTTGTTCAGTAATTTCTATTCTGATTAAAGCAACCCTCAAGGGTTCCAGATAGGAATCTTCTGTTTAAAATATAAAGCTAAAGATTCTCTATATATCTTTACTGCATAAAATATTTATTTATGACTGGAAATAATAATGCTAAAAAATTACAAGTTCCTCTTTGAAAACTCAGTTTAACAAATGTAAACCTATGATAACTGAGACCAATAACTCAGTCATATAATTTATGATACCATTTTATTACTTTTCTAAATTTTAAAAATGTATAACTTAGACCATCAAATATTTTGAATATTCTAAATGAGTGTTATTAGATAAAGTTATAAGATATGAGGAATGAAGTTTTACAAAAATGTGGTATATATTATAAATCAGTTCTGTAAAATGATTGACAGTATTTGACCATGTAATATATAACAGATTATTATATATTAAAAAAGAGGTATCTTTCCCAATCTTATTGGAAAAATTGTAGAATTTGAATTTGAGATCTTTTGCACTTATAAAAAGCTCTCTATCAGTAATCTAATACTGTTCCTGGTTTTTTCCCCAACACTTAACATATTGGGATGCCATAATTGATTTGGAATGGGACTAGTAGAAGTATAACTTTCATTTTTGTGGGTGAATAATACTATTTTCTTTTATAGGCATAAGGCCTCCTATTGGTAATGGTCCAATGCCAGCTCGTCCATTGGTTGCCCTCCTTGATGGCAGGGATTGCACTGTAGAAATGCCTATCCTGAAAGATGTTGCCACAGTGGCTTTCTGTGATGCACAATCAACTCAGGAAATCCATGAAAAAGTAAGTGTTTTTTTTAAAAGGGAGGGGGAATTTCACTTTCCAATGAAAAATGAGTTGGTTCCTGAATTCATAAATTCTGCATTGAGAGCTAGCCATTATTTGTAGTTGCTTTCCAACCTAATTTTGAACCAAATTCTATGGAAACCAATGGGAACTTACAAGAACTCCGAAGGGGTGGTCCTTTGTCTAGCAGATTTTGCAGAAAATACATACTGCACTTTGGTACTCTGCTAAAGTATGAAAGGCCAGTGGGAAGGGAGTGAAACAGTTCTTTCTCTCTTTTCTGTGAATTTAAAAGGATGTGAAGAAAAGAGTGATGGTGTTTGTCCTTTTGTAGAAGCAATTATATTCTCTTTCTGTCTTTCACATTCCATTCCTTCCTTGGAGTACTTTGCAGTTCAATGAACAGCAAATAAAGCCTCGATCAGAAGTGGAATGCTGAATAATAAGTGAGGTTGTGGAATCCTGAGCTCACTAGTTCTAATGCTATGAAGTAAGCATTATTTTGTTGTTCTGTCTTCCTCTAGGTTCTAAATGAAGCTGTTGGGGCTCTGATGTACCACACCATTACCTTGTCACGCCAGGACCTGGAGAAGTTCAAAGCTCTCCGGGTAATTGTGCGAATTGGCAGTGGCTATGACAATGTGGATATCAAGTCAGCTGCAGAATTAGGTATGGTGATCCCAGCTCAATAAAAAAAAAATATTGTAGAGTGGATGGGTAGGGAGTACATTCTTCCGCTGTATTCAGTTTTGGGATTTGGGCTGAATTTACTAAATAAAAAATAAAAAAAATTCCGAGGCAGGTAAAATATTTTCTATTATTAAGATAAATTTGCAAAAATTTAATGTACATTGTTTTCATAAGAATATTAATTTTTAAGATATCTTCCTTCTATTGGAAATAGAGAATTGAACTGAAAAATAGTTATTTGGCTAAAAACATACAGCATGGCTTGAAACCCATAAAAATGACATGCTTTTGCATAAATATAAATGGAGCCCATGTATTGTCTACAGACTCTATACTGCACATGGTTTCTTCAGGCAAGTGATTGGTTGCTTCCTTTGTTGTTTTAAACAAATACATATTGAAATGAGATTTAAATTTTTCAGATAAACTGGGATGATTAAATTGAGATAATTGAATCAACCTGATATAACCGAAGAAAGAAAAGTAAAATTTAACATTTCATAAGTGAGGTTGTCTCAATATTTGAGAGGCTGATCTGAAGAAGTTTCTGATTTCTTTCGGTCCAGATTTCTAGTTAATACACCTTTTTGGTACTGAATTATTGACATCCTTTCAAATGTTTATTTGAGCTTCAAGTTTACACTTTCTTGAAATGAGAATTTTACCAAAATAATAATATTCCTAAGTTATGGTATGCTTGATGAGAAGCAGTTCTTTTGTGTGAGAAGTAACTTTACAACAGATAATGTAAAAGGTCCTTTCAAGTTCAGTCAATTAAAATAATTTCAAGAAGCAGGGCTAGGAACATCTGCCAGGATAAAATAAATTAGACGAACCCACCATTTGAGTGGTGTAATGCAGCCAACGGCCCAATGAAGATAATCAGTCCTGCAATCTGATAAAAGTTACCTGCTCTTTTCTTAGTAACTGTTAGACAGAGAGTAGATTCTGTAGAAGGAAAAAGGAAAAGAAGAACGATGGGTTGGAGGAACTTGTATAACGTCTAAAAGGAGGAGGGACTATAAAATTGTAACTATCTGTTGAAAAGAAAGTTGGAAATCATATTTCTTAACTTTATTTTTTTCTCCTTTTAAATTTCTTTCCATTTTTCTTTGAATTCTGTTTTATTCTATGAAAAATACTTAATAAATATAATGATTTTTTAAAAAGAGAAAGAAAAAGAAGGCAGGGAGTACCGTAGTTTCATTCACTAATGGTGCGTGATTCTCAAAAGATTACTTCCAAGGGAATATAATTGGCAGGCAAAGAAACACTTCCTATCTTGGCCTACATAAAATTCAAGTATGAGATCAGATCGATAACAAAACAATGAGATTATATCAGGAGGTCAGTAAAATGTATTATATGTCCTCATTTCCTTAGGCATTGCAGTATGCAACATCCCTTCATCTTCTGTAGAAGAAACAGCTGATTCTACCCTCTGCCACATCCTGAATCTTTATCGTCGGGTTACATGGCTTCACCAAGCAATGAGAGAAGGAAACAGAGCCTCGAGTATGGAGCAAATCAGAGAGGTAGCTGGGGGTGCTGTACGTATCCGTGGTGAGACCTTGGGCATCATTGGCCTTGGTAAGCAGTTAGTGCTTTTTGTAGCTTGGATAATGTTCCTGTGCGACCAAACATTTCAGTTTTTTGTACTTCCCTCACATGCCTGTTACTTTTCTACTTTCATGGTTCAAAGGAATCCATTGCTTTCCATTTAACTGGTAGCAAAGTTAGGATTTGTGCTTACTCTGAAAACCACAATTAGAAAAGTTGTTTGTTGCACGTGAAAGAAAGATTGAATATTTGGTTTTAACAAATATTTGTTTTTAACTTTTTAGTTTTTATGTAATTGTAAGCAGTCCAAAGTTATTTATTGAGTAGCCAATAAATGTGATTATTTTGCATATTTGCTTGGGACCATTAGACAACTTTGAGAGTACTTTCCCTGTCTCAGAACTGGATAGATGCACATCCAAACTGGACTGCAATTTACTGCACTTTTATTTTTCTCAGTAACAGAAACTCTGTTAGCATATCACACCATGGCTTCTCCTAGGTGATAGAATTGTAGCTTAGTTCTGCATTAAAACCCAAAAGATTTCCCCATTCATTAATGCATATCCACAATAAACAGAAATCCTCAAAGTCAGGAAAAATTTAACTGTGTTTCATAGAAATACAAAAATTTACAAGCACAAATTTAAAAAAGGCAACAGTTTTATCTCAGAAAAATCAAATACCATCCCAAGAAATAAAACACAAAATCATTAAAGATCCCTAAATATATACCCTCCTCCATCACAAATGTTCAGATAAATTGTCTCTCTCACATAGACACACCCCATTAGGAATAATATTCCTACAAATATATAACTTACCTTTACCATGACTAGAATATTAGAGATATGTCCAGCATATTGGTAGAAAAAAAAATGGAGAAAAGCAAGTTAACATTGGGCAGTTTATATTTATTTTGTCTAAAACAAATTCTGTCTTAGTATTAAGTGTGAACACAAACAATGCCTTACGCTGTGCTTAAGAGTCCTTTTTTTTTCTTTTTCAAAGGCCGAATTGGGCAAGCAGTTGCCTTACGTGCAAAACCCTTTGGTTTCAACATTATGTTTTATGATCCTTATTTGCCTGATGGAGTGGAGCGTTCCTTGGGATTACAGCGGATGGCCACCTTACAAGATCTCCTAATGCACAGTGATTGCATCACATTACACTGCAGTCTGAATGAGCATAATCATCATCTCATCAATGACTTCACTATTAAACAGGTACAGCTTTGCCCCGAGTAGGGCATTGTGCAAATTTCAGGAAAGTAATTCCATGCATAAGTGCATAAGTTTATATGTAGCAATTGAATTGAATCAAATATTTTATTTAGCCAAATGTGATAAGACACGTAAGGAATTTGTCTCCAGTGCAGAAGCTCTCTATGTCCATGCAAAACAACAGAATAATGCTGTGATGGCGAATCTATGGCACACGTGCCAGAAGTGACATGCCTAGCCCTCTCTGTGGGCACATGCACCAGCCACCTGGTCTTCTGGTCTTTATGTGCACCGGAACACTGGAAACCTGAAGATCCACTGGCCGGCACTCCAGCATGCATGAAAACCAGCTGGCCAGCACGGATGTGTGAGCAGGAAACCCGAAGAACAGGTGGTCTTCAGGTTTCTGGCACTCCAACATGTGCACGTTCGGGTTTGGGCACTCGGTGCCAAAAATATTTGTCATCACTGAAATAATGATAATAATAATAATATCAATTGGGGGAGTAAGAAAGATAATAGAGGGATAAATAATAATACTACAGCCAAACTATGTGGGAAAATATACATAGACATTAGGCAGCACTGTGAGAATTAGAACTTCAGCAGAGTGATGGCCCGAGGTTTTAAGCATATTCAGTTCCACACTTTGCAACTGCACCATAGGGCCAGTTGTTCACCCTCCTGTCTATACGCAGACACATCACTGTCTCGAATGAGGCCAATAACTGATCTTATCATCTGCAATCTCAGAACTTTAACAGAAGGTATCCTTGAGCTGCAGTCATTGGTACAGAGACAAAAGAGCAATGGAGAGAGAACACACACCCTGTGGGCCGCCTATGCTCATTGCTCGAATACTAGATGTAATTGTCATATAGATGCTAGATACATTTTTGAAGACAATAGTGGGTTGTATGGGGGCACAAATGTCAATTTAATTCTAACGACATATGTCATTAGACATCTTTGCCAGATAGTTTTCAGATCTAGAAGCAGGTAGATAATCTCTTATGAACGGGAGTGCAGTACTCTTAAGAGAGAAGGTGTGCACATTTTGGATTTTCTTGATTCAGTTTTATCACAGAGACAAATGGTCTCAATAATAGAGAATACCCTTTTCCAGTATTGCCTAATGTGAAGTTGCCAGTCCTCTGAAATGGATTGCTATAAAGCCCATTTATTTTTGGGTATTCATGAAAATGATCCTGAAAGTATAGTTGATCTAAACTGGAGCAATCAGGACACTGATAAGTATACCTATTAGAGATCCTATGATACTGAACCTGAAATGGGCCTGTTAAATGGGATCAATTCAAGATGCTGATTCTATTACAAAGCTTGAAATATTTTGGGAGTTATTACGTAAAAAATGATTCACTCTGTACCTGTCCATCTTCATATTTGGAACAGCAGGAAAACTTACTTTATGCAAATCTTTGTATTTTTGAGACACAGGCAGTCCCTTGGTTAAGAACAACAGACTTGACAGATACCAGTGGGCTGTCTATTATTAAAAATGGCAGACAACATTCTCCTTCCTTGAGCTGACAAACCATTGAAGTTGTGGAATACTTTCAGGAACTGTTGAAACTGCACATTATTAATATACAGCCTGTTTACTGAAGTTTTTAGTGATTTCTTTAAAAAACTGAGCAATTTCAGCAGTTTCTCTGCCCAAGGAAGGACAATGCTGTCCATCATTTTTAGTAATAGACTGTTTGTAAATACGAGTTCTGACCTAACATAAAAATTTGGGTTAAAGATAGTTGGGAACTGCCTGTAATATATATTTTATCTAAAATAAATTTGTAAAAGGTTAAGTCCATTGGAACAAATGTGTTAGGATTTATGAAGGTTTTATTCATGTTTGTTACTATTTGATGTTGTCTTGACAGTCTTTATTCATATAAGTTACCTTTAGTTTGGAAAGAATAGAAGCAAGGTTTTGATAAGCCAGATTAATTTATGTACATCATCACCTAGGACATTTGTATAGAGGCAAGATCAAATGAATTAAATGAGTACAGTAAATACATTTGAATTTAACAATGATCATTTTCATATTGCTGTTTAAGTGCAATAATTTAATCTTAGTGGCCCTTTCTATATTTTGCTATATAGATGCGTCAGGGTTGCTTTCTAGTGAATACAGCTCGTGGAGGTCTGATTGAAGAGAAGGCCCTAGCTCAAGCCCTAAAGGAAGGGAGGATCAGAGGGGCTGCTCTTGATGTGCATGAGTCAGAACCTTTCAGGTAACATTTACATTATCAGGCCTTTGTCAGTTTTCAATAGGATACATATCTCTGCATCTTAGAGCCACCAGCTATCATAATCCAAAACATGCCTGTTTCTCTACATCACAGTTTTGCTAATGGGCCCCTAAAAGATGCTCCCAATGTGATTTGTACACCTCACACAGCCTGGTACAGTGAACAGGCTTCTATTGAGTCGAGAGAGGATGCGGCTAAGGAGATCCGAAGAGCCATCACAGGTAATTGAAAAACCAGCTCTGTAGTTGCTTTCCAAATGACTTCACTGGACTAGGTCTGTGTAATAGCAACAGGTTACATACCATTTTGTGTGTAACCAAATAATAAGTACTTTAAAAAAATAATTTGATCTTCCTCTTCAATTGTGTTTTATGTATCATGGTATATATGGACTCTGCTTTTTTGATCCCTAGTTTTGACTCTGGATATTTAATTAATTCAAGTCACAAGTTGTTGTTTTTTCCAGATCTGTTTATGTGCATATATAGTCCTCCTTGTGTTTTCAGTGACTGCTACAAATTGCTGTTTAAATGACAAGGAGATTGCTTTGTTCCATATCATTAATGGCAGAAGGAATAAAAGTGCAATCTCCTTTGAGTAAAGTTTGATTCTTGGTAAATTTTTTGGACACATAGTTTTCTTACAAGAGACCCAAAGTATCTTCTATCTGGAATATTTTTATTCCCAAGACTCGCTTACAGCTCTGGATATTTCTTGAAAATCTCCCATCCAAATCCTAATCAGGCTTGATGCTGCTTAGCTTCTAGGCAACTCAGCTTTTTTTCAACAGCATTTTCTTGTGCTGATCAGCTACATCTCCTTAGTCCAATATAATTACTTCAGATTGCTTATTAATAAGGTTTTTCTTTTAAATCATGGGTAACAGGAGGAGCTGCATACCTCTAGGATTAAAGCAAGAGTGAGCAGGTCTACACCACTTTTAATTTCACATGCTTCATTCATAGAGAGATACATGCCCATTCTTTTATATTCTTCTATCTTGCTCTCCCTCCAACCCAACCCTTTGAAACAATTGTGGAGAGTTAAGTGTCAAGCTTAAATATATGCAGAAAACAATTTGCAGAGTTCAAAGGGCATCTCGAGAGAAAAATGAATTCTTGCCTTTTTAGTTGTAAGCCCCTATCCTGGGCACAATAATATCTTTTTTAAAAAAAAAAAAAATCTTCTACTTGTTCTACCGGACATTAGAAGTGTAATTACTGGAGAGGGGGGCGGGGAAGAAGGAGAATCATGAGCCAGTTTTGAATTTGCTCTGCCTTTATAAGGAATGATCATTTGGACAGTTGTTTTAAATTATTAGAGTACATAACAAGGGAACTTTTTATGGCTGTAATTTTGCAGAGAAAACTCAAGATTATTCATGTGTGCATGATTTGCTGTGTATTTTTTTCTTTGCTTTGTTCACCTGCTGCAAATTAGCAAGGTAGTCAGAGGAACTTTTGATATGTTTTGGAATATATATTTATATACAAGCATGTTTGCATAATCTTTCTCTTCATTTGTGGACTTTGACATAGGTCACATACCTGATGGTTTGAGGAACTGTGTTAACAAGGAATACTTGCTTTTAGCGGCTCAGTGGTCTAGCATTGATCCTGCAGCTGTACATCCAGAGCTTAATGGAGCTACAGCTTACAGGTGAGATACATACCTCTGAATTTTTAGCAGTGAAATTGTAAAAGGAATGCTTATCAAAGTGACTTTCGATTACCATATGTTTTCTTCTTATGACAGGTTTCCAGGAGTAGTAGGAGTAGGAACCTCTGGGCTGCCGGAGCCACCAGTTGAGGGAATTGTAGCTCACAGCATTCCCTCTGTGTCTCACTCTGCACCACACACTCCTTCTCCAGGAGAGTCAAGCAAATTGGAGCCAGACAGAGAAATCTCCACTGACCAGTAGCACCTTTCTTGTCTCATTCAGCCCTTAAAACAAAACAGGGAAAGTTTCCTGTTTTTAGGACATATTGTGACACCCCCTCCTCTCCTGGACTGCTTCCTCAACGGACAGGAGAATGCATTTCATTATTGGCAAATTCTAGCTTTTGCCTATAAACAGGTATTTTTATAATGAATTTAGTTTAAATCTCTTGGTGAATCTCTTTCTTTACTTTGGGCAATGAAGTAGTGATTTTTCATTATTTTGATAATGCTTAGTTTTAACATGCAAATTTGTATGCCCTTGCCTCCAGTGTATGATATAGAGGGAAACAGAACCAAACTGAGCAGTACCTGGATGAACACATGAATTCCAGTGATTTCTATGACTGGCGTGGTTTTTAACGTGATTTCTTAGGTTGAGTATCAGTTCCGTCTCAGGTACAAGTAATAAAAACACTGTATTGGGATAGGGTGGGGGAAGCTGTGCATCTGGATTGCTTTATAGAAAGAAGCAGAATTCTTGCTCAGTTGTGAGCACTTACTACTTCAATCCTTCCTACTTACATTAACCCGATGTGGTTGTTGAATGATTTGTTCCCAGGGCTAGGGATAAATAATTACAAAAACAAGGTGGATGTGGAATTCTGTCTGGAATTTGTACGTAAAACATTTACAGAAAATCAGTTGAATTGTTTTAATAGTTAAGATGCTTGGCGGGTTATGGGAAGGAAGATGATTGAATTGAGATTTTGAGCCCAACTCAGGGAATGAGGACTCAGCTCCACACAGAAAAGTAGGAGGAATTTTAGAGCTCAAGACTTCGTGTTACAGGATGTCTGCTTACAAATAGTGCAAACTTTGCAGCAACAAAAAAGGTAAAATTCTAGAACTTAATTTAGGATTGAAGTTTCTTTGACCCGTCTCTTTATAGCTTCAAAGGCCAACCTAGGATTTTTTTCCCTTTGGATTTTGTCTAGTGTGAAATGTATTGGATATGTGTGTCCAGTCTTCTTTTTTTTTTTACTCCTATTCTTCTCTGAATTCCTTGTCTTGCAACAAACAAACAAATCTTATTCTCAAGCCTGCAACTAGCTATGCATATTCTTCCTGAAAGATGCAGTTGTTCTGTTCTATGACAGTTTTCTAACTTGAGTGTGTTTTAAATGAGGCATTTAAACCCTATATAGAGGCAGTACTAGGGTATAATTTTGGGGGGGTGTGGGGGAAAATTTATTTTTCCTTAGCATATTGTCTACACAGCATATATTTCATCATGAAACAAAATATTTATTATGTTCATATATATTATTTTCACATTGTTTGGAATTTTGAGCATGAAAAATTATGTTTTTTTAAACCAATCTGGTTAAGTATATAGTTAAGAGATAAATTTGGGGAGTGGAGAATGGCAGTTCTTCTTTCCTAGGAGTTGTGTTGATTTGCTTTGTGGTGGGTTTGTTAAACAGAATTATCAGTCAGGCAATCTGGAAAAAGATAAAGTAAGATACCCACCACTTTAATCTGTGCTTACAGCTAAAGGTTAATAATTGGTTAGCACATTCCCAAACTTTAGACTGTTCTTCAGACTTAAATGTCAGTGGCTAACTGGCAGGTGCATATCCCCCTTTAACATGAGTGAGATACTAATGGAGAAAAGCAAATTAATTTTTATATTGATCATATTCTGACAAAATTCATATTTTGTTTTTGCTTGAGATGCCATATTCCTTAATATGTTAGAATGTAAGTTGGAAGTGTTTGATATAGTGTAAGCTCTGGTAATTGGGAGTCATAGTTGCTTTATAATGGCATGGGTGATTATGATTATGTGTTTAAAATTCAGATACCTCTTGGGATGCTCAGGTTTTTTTAGGGTGGGGTAAATTAACAAATTAGTACTACATATGTGATAGTTAAGTATAGGGGGCCTTTCAATGACTTTTCAGTGAACTTTCAGAGAATTTTTGATTAGGGCAAAACAACAAATGCAGCTTTTTATTGAAACTTTGTAATAAAACTCTAACCAATTAAAACTGGAATTAAGGTGCAAGCATAATTTAATGCTAGCCCTTAAGAAGGTTGAAGAATCAGGAATGGTGATGAGGTGGCTCACTCCCTTGCCCATCTCTTCATAAATTTTCTATACTTTTCTTTCCCATTCTAAAAAACTAGAAGCATGATAACATCAATTATACATGTAAACCAGGATTAATTTTGTTTGGACAATGTTGAACCAAGTAAAGATAGCAAAAGGAGTCACAGCATCTGATACTGCAGCTTTGCAGATATTTTTGCAACTTCCCTTGAAAAGCTGTATTCTCCAGTTTAGTAACAGTCTAGCTCAGATTTAATGGAGTGTATGTTGTTCACATTCCATGCATTGAAGTAGAAAAATTACCTTTAAAGCATAAAAGACATAGTTGTTTCCAATAGGCATATTTGAGATGTTTTGTTGTGACTGAGAAGACATAAAAACGGAGGATGAGGGAAATGAAAATTAGATTGTAGGAAATAGTAGCCATGGAAAAAAGAGAACTGTGAAAGATAATTGAAGCTCTAGAATGCTATTTTTTTTAGTTCAGCTTCACTAGTTGTTAATACATGAAGTTTATTGGCTACAACCATAAAAGCATAAATACTGTATGCTTTAAAAATGAAAGCTGGGATTCTCAGGATATTAAATTCTAATACTAAAGATTCTATACTTGTATGATGTCAAATACATATTGCCCTGGAGATGAGGAAATAAGCCTTTGTATATTCTTAGTCTGATAATGATGTATATTTTACTGGCCTCTTGCAACCCATATAATATCACTGTAGCTTCATAGCTACAGTTTTAAATTCTAAGAACCTATAGGTTCAATCTTACAGCTACAGATGTCTATAGTTTGCTACCATTATGCTACAAGGAAGGAATTTTGTGTTATGACATGGTGACCCAAGACCCATGCTTTTGTACTTCCATTTACATTGCAGTACACATTTTGTCACTTGCCTCTATTTGTCCACCCATGGATGCCTATGGTTCCAGCTGTAGAGATTTTGAAGTGATAGGCCCAGAATCATATTGTGTTTCTAGTGCAGTTTATCAGCAACTGCTTTGTTGCTGACTGTTCCTGTCTTTTGTTTTCAAGGTTTCTGATCAAGGTTCCAAGCTGTGGGATTGCTCAGAGTCTCCTATCTTGCCTGTTTCAGGGAATAGTGTAAGATACACTCACTTCATGGTGGCAGCCTACATTAGTAAGCAAAATATTTTTTACACATGGATACCTCTAAAGATTTATAAGATAAAACCTCCAAACAGAGAAAAACTGGGAGGATCTCAGCTGGTTTACAGCGAGATATTTGTTTTGATTAGAAAATATGCTATTTGGTATACTAGAAAAATATTAATAGTAGAAGAGTTGCAACAGTCTCCTATTGCTGGTGGAAAATGATTTAAATCTTAAATCCTCAAAAATAGCCAGTATTACCCAAACCTATATTTGGGAATTTAGAAATTTTGAACTTACCAGAGTAGCATTAAATATTAATTCATATCAGGTTTTAGACTTTAGCTAATCAAACTTCTGTTTTAGAAGGCAGGATAGGCTAGGTCTGATTATAAAGTGCTCCAGTTGCACATTTTGATGTTTTTGTTTCTTAGAACATTTACCGCAAAAATGGGTAAAAGTGGACATAAATGCTAAATTTTCCTCCTGATACCAAACATTATTCAGCGACTCCTTAATGTGTTTAGACATACAGCTCCAAGCTCCAAATTTTATGCATGCTAAGGAAGTAAATTAGAATGAAAATTCATTTTAAATCTTCCTTCAAAATTAATGTGGAGCTTAATCCCAAAGAATGTCTTTTCATAATGTTATTAAGACAGGAGTGCTCTGGGTCATGCCAAGGTTAATCTGCAAGAGGAGTTCACTCTGTCCTATGGAATATTCTGCTTGTCAGATTCGCTGTTGCTGGCCAGCTTCTTTTTATAGAGGACTCAAGAGTTTCAGAAATATATTTTTGTAGACAATAACTAAACTGTGAAACTTAATAAGGCATGTAAAAGCATTTCCAACTTTTCCTGTACAGATTTTTCTCCCTTCAATTCCCTCTTGGCTTTTGTTAGAAGTTTGACAGTTTCTTGAATATATTTTAATAAATATTTCGTTTACGGTTATGTGGGTCTTCTCATTTAAGTGTGTGGCTACCTTGACTAATACGGATGGAATGTAGTATCTTTAAGTGTTGCCTTATTATCTAATTGTGCAGGTGTAAACTTTCTTTTCCTTAAAATGAAAAAGCTAGTAAACTTAAAGAGGGGTGAGGATGTAAAACAAACCTGCTAAAATGAAAGTGCTGTTGATGAAGGTTCCAGATTAATGGCAAACCGTAGATGACTGCAAACATTAAGTACACAAACCTCTCCCTTTAAATGCGGCATCGTCCACAATTCATTGCAGAAAATTAAGCTTCTGTTCCAAAAGGAATGATAAAGATTATAGCTGTAATAAATAAAAGAAATAACAGTTTTTCACAAAGGAAATACTTTACTACCCTAAAAGGTTATTTATATAATCTGGAAAAAGGAGATTTTTACACATTTTTGAGAACATAGAGGTGAAGTTTTGAACAGCTACAGCCACAATCTCTTTTGGCTTAGTCAACACGTAAAACACTATGGTAGTCTTCCCACTTTAAAAATGTGGAGGCTACTGTAGTCTTCCTATCCCTCACTTCCCACTGTAATTATCTGAGCTACTTTGGTGCAGTGGTTAAGACATGAAGCTAGAAATAAAGAGACCGTGAGTTCTGGTCCTGCTTTGTGGATGAAGCAGGTAGATGACCTTGAATCAGTTGTCTCAGTCCTAGGAAGGAGGTGAAGGGCAAATAATTTCTGAAATCCTGCCAAGAAAATTGAGTTGCCAGGAATCAATGGACTCAAAGGAGTGCAAAACACACACACACACACACCCTTTTTAACGTTTTGCATACCATTTGGCCATAACATGTAGTTGAGTGAGTCACCTGAATATTCACATCAGCTTTCAAGAAAAGCTTATCAATGGATATTTGTTATGGTGCTACCATAGTGCCAAAATAATACCCCTTTCTAACGCCAGTTCCATGGAAACAAAATCCATAGAGTGCTTCTACTCCTGCTCTTCCACTATTAACATGTGGCCTGTTAGTGTAAAACACACTGCTGGAAAAGCTAAGCGGCCGGGCCGGGCCAGGAGCTCACGCCTTATGTCTGTGTCTCTCTGTGTGTTTTAACCGCGTACAAGGCAGGATCTCCTCTGCCCTCCTGTGGGGAACGGCGGAACAAACGAAGCCACCAAGAACGAAAAGGTCAGCGTTGCATGCCGGGAGGAAAAAAGTAAATAAATAGAGTCCCGCGCGTTGCATTCTGGGAGGCCAGAGCCAGGGGAGGGTTCGGCGAGCGCGGGGCACGCCGGGATGGATCGGAGCCTGCCGCGGGGCACGCCGGGAACAGGGCGGGCAGTGTTTCGGGGGGCCCAGAGGGAGAGCTGTCGCTGACTCGCTCGGTGTCTCTGGAGGCTGTTGAGGTCGAGAACCGCGGCGGAGGCGGCTTCTGCCCAGTCGGGATGGCAGACGCCACGGCCTCCCCGGTGGGGAAGCGGCTCCTGCTCTTGCTGGTAGCAGGTCCGGGCGAGGGAGAAGCGGCGGGTTCGGAGCCTGGGCCTGCTCTGCCCTCCCGGGCCTGGAGGAGCGGGACCGTGCGGGCTATGAGTGGGGCTGTCCCTCAGGACCTAGCGGTAAGAGCCCTCGGGCGGGGAGAGCGCCGGGGCTCGCCCGCCTTGTGGCGCGCTTGGCGTGGTTTCTCTGGGGCTCCGTGTCCCCGAGGAGGAAGGGATGGCGGGGGAGCTGCCTGTGTTTTGGGTGGGTGGGAGTGTTGATCTGGAGGAAACGTCTTTCCCTCTCTCCGTTTTCTTCGCCTTTGCGCGAAATAACCCGGAATCCCTTCCTTGTAGGTGGAAGCGAGGGGTTCTGGCGTGTAAGGCCGCTCTTGGGCCACTGATCTCGAATTTCAGGTGCTGCGTTTACGGCAGTTCTTGGGTTTTTGTTTTTTCTCTCGGCGAAAAACCGCCTTCGGATCCCCAAATCCTGAGCTGAAAATGCTAGGGATCCATTTATTAAGCGAACATCGCGCGGTGTCTGTGTGTCTTAAACAATATTCGCAATAGTTTGTTTGGCTGGTAGGTTTGCAAATTCCTTTTCCGGTGGCCCCGTTTAGTTACACTGTGTTTGGAGTACGGTGATGATGTTGTTTTTTAAATCACACTTTTCTAATTTAGTTGGATCTTGTAGAGTTCGGTCATTTTTAAGGGGTCTTTTGGCCTCCTAAGGATACTTTGCCTTAAGTGCAAAAGTCTCCAGGATTATGGGATATTGAATCTAGGATAATGTGTGTGTATGAGTTTGTAATCAAAATATTTTGATGGAATTATTCACCTGTAAACCTCACATGTGAGATTGTGGGGGGCATGTAATATTTGGTGTATCTGTTTTCCTGGTTATGGGATACATACATAAATTGGCTTTAATTGTTAAATGCAAGACACAGTTTCGATTTCAGCCTCAAATGACATTTAATGTCTGGAGATCTTGGTGCTCTCTGAATTTGGTTATTTGCTTGCAGACATTTCTTTACCCAGCTAGGTAACATCAGTACTAGTTTGTGCCCTGCCAGTGTTGGTGGGGGTGTGGTTTTCTCCTTGATAGTGTCTTGATTAGGGTATTGTTTTCTTTTTGTATGATGTTAATCCCTCCTTATCTTCTGGGTATTGGCTGCTGGAGAGGAAGAGTTCTGGTTTTTTTTTGTTTCCTTACTTTTTTATTGTCTCTTTTGAATGGTGTGCAAATGTGGTTTATCTCTGTGTGTTTGTTGAAGAAGGAAACAAAAAGACCAGACTATCTCCTCTCCAGCAACCAGTACTCAGAGAAGGTGGGAGTGATACCTGACAATCAAGCTGTAAATAAAAATAATAATAAATGAATCACTAAATAGAAAATCATATCCCCCTCAACACTGGCAGGGGAATTGCTGTGTATAATCAGGGAACAAACTTCGTCTGTAGTATTGATGATATACCTAGTTGGATAATGAAACATCTGCAAGCCAATAAATGAGCACCAAGAACTCCACAGTTGAACCCTGTGCTACATATATTCTTTTTTATATTTTATCTCACATAAGTAAATACAAGTAGAAGATGGGTATGAACCTAAATTCCAATTTGCATATTTGATATTATCAACATTTTTCCATAAGGCAGTCTCAGCCATTTATTACAGCAGTCGAGCTCTCTACTCTGCTTTTTACCCATTGACATAGTCGCACAACACACTAGTTTAAGCAAAGATGCATGGAGTTGTTTCTGAGTCAGCATGCTGTTTTCTTAGTGTAGTATATAAAACAGTCCATCATCTAAAGCAAAATTTATGGGTTTTTGGAGCAAAGTTATATGAACCCAAAAGCTTTGTTTTGTTTTATTATCTGCTTGATATTTTGAGACACACCCACCCTTCATGATTTAACTTGCTTCCAAAAATTTTCAACAGAATTGGGTACATCACAATATATCCTTGCTTGACCTTAGCAGTTTCCTTGCTGACTATTTTTCAAAGGACATTTAGGTACATTAAAAAGAAATGCAAGCTTCAATAGACCTACCCCACTTATTTTACTTTTCAAGAAAGAATTATAATTGAATGGTTGAACATTAGAACTTGTTTCAAAAGGTTTATAAAAATGTGTAGGTAAGTAAAAGAAAAATAAGATAATAGAGTTGTGTTAACCTATATATTGGATAAGTGAACTGGATTTGCTCATAACTCTTAAGCCATAAGCAAATATATGTTTTAACTTATCATAGTATATGATCACAGATTATTATGAAATATCTGTGATTATTATTCATGATCCAAAAACTGGAAAGTTGGTTTATCTTTTTAGTTTTTTATGATTTAGCTTCATAATGTCAGATTCCCATGAGAGAGATAGCAACTTGAACATTTTCTCAGTATGTAGTGATTGTAGAAAATAAAAGCACATTCAGAAAGCAGCAACTTCCAGAATATGTGTGTAGAATGTTTAAAATGTGTTAGGATTGTTATACCTTAGGAAGGTATAACAAAAGTCTAAGCTATGGATTAAATGGTATTACAAATCCAGTTGAGTAATTATTGAAGGAAAATGAGGTAGATGGGACTTTTTAATTTAGACAAATGATTACTCAAAATGACAGGAATGCATGGTTATTAAAAATCATATGTGAGATGAAAGAAGCAAAATCATTAAATGTAAAAGTTTCTATTACACCTTGTGTGGGGGAAATAAATGAAAAAAATCCAGAGATGTTGAGGCAGAGGATTTGTTCTGGAGTTGAATCGTCTATCAGAAGACAGGGTTAAATTAGAAACTAGATATTAATATATCTCAGTACAGTGTTTATTATCACTTTGTACTTACAAAGCTAGTATACAAAGCTAATATGACAATAACAGTTATGTTGAAAGCCCTATGAAGCGGTATATAAGTCTAATTAATAAATAAATAAAAATAAATCAATTCCTTCCTATTTTGACTATCGTGTTATGAACTGAAGAATTTTCTTTAGAGAGATTCCTGTTTTTTAAATACTATGCCTGATCACCTTTACTTCCAGTTGATTATAAAATATAAATAGTTTAAAATGATTCATTGATTCTGGTGGTTGATTTACTTTATTTAAAGTATTGACATACAGTGTTTTAGAGTGACTTCATGAATTATATAACATAAACTTGTACTGAAATAGTATCAGTTTGTAGAGAAAAGCTTAATATGCTGCTTTGGAAATTCATAGATACTCTGTACAATAATGTGTTGGAGCTTTATTATTAAACAAGTAGATGGTCGCTTATATTATGTTGGCTTGCCCAGAATACATGGATAGAAATATAGTAATAAATGACTATGTTATATTTCCTAAGTTAGTTATCATTGAAATTCATTACTATTCATTAGATTATCTCAATTATCTCGATTATTTAAAATTTATAATATTACCATATAGAATATTTAAACATAATCTATCCTAGCTCTGTTTAAATAAATAAATAATATCTAACTCTAACGGTTTAGCTAAATGCAAATTTGTATATTGTATGTTTTCATTATTAAGTACACACACACACACACAGACACACACACACACACACACACACACACACACAAACTGCTTTTATACTTTGGCCTAAAGAAGCTGCAGGTTCTTCAGCAGGTCTCCTAAAGATGTTCTTGAGTAAGATATGAACATCAGTGCTAACTATTCTGTAGATTCTTTTAAAAAATTATATTTTTTTTCTTAATTCCATTTGTAA